CCCAAAGGCATCGAAAACATTCGCCCGCATCTCGAAAACGTGGACAACGTTCCGCTGTTGGTCTCGCTCTTCACCGATTGTGTGCCCGAAGCGACCAAAGATATGATCAAAATAATGCAAGAGTACGGAGAAGTGGTGTGCGTTGTGGGCAGCGCTGCCAACATTGCCAACGTTGCCATCTTTCTTCAGGCGGACGCCAGGTATGCCATCGATTGTCACTTCCATATCATCGTAAGAGCGCTGTTTATAACTGATGTCTTAACTGTTTAGCATTGGTGTGGAGCCGATGTACCCGCAGGTGTGCATAACGGAGCCCATCAAAGAGGCCGACGGTTACATTGAATCTCTTCCGGACAACTTCATAGGGCCGACGGATTTGGCCCGACAGCTGGTGACACTGCCCTGTTCTCTGTCTCTCTATCGCCAAAACTCTATGATCTTCTATCAACTCATTCTCGAAGCGCGTCATTATATGCTTAAAATGCGAAACTGTTTCCAATTCTTCCTCAGCAGTTGTCTTAGTCTGAGTTTAGCCCAACTCTTGACTTCACTGCTATTCCTGCCGCCGCTTCTCTCTCCCGGTGTAGTGCTGTGGTTGGCCTGTATTGTGTTGCCTATTCTCAGCTCATCACTGATGGGCACTCATATGGACGACAAAGTGATGACTATCGCCACCGGAAAGAAATTGCATTTAAACAAAGAGGTTCTTATCGTTTCAAATGATAATTACTTTTGCGTCGATTAGTGATAATAAATGTTTGTCAATGAATTGATATCTATTTTTTACAGAGTATACTATACTTCTTCATGTGTTACTTAATTAAATTCGCGCCATCAGTATTGGTGAGTGTCCTGTGCTTTGGTTTAATTATTGGCCACTCGTGTCACGACATGCACGTGGGTTTGCTAACGGCTGGTCCGTGTTGGATGTTCAGCGATGTTAAGTGAGTGCCTATTATTTGATCCCATGGTGATCACCACTAATAGATATAGCAATTGATATTCATATTGATGTTACTTTTAGAGCCAACATTACCGGCGAAACTGATGACTTCTTCTGGTCCTCACGGCTACTGATTGGTCAGACAATTGCCTCATTGTTTCTCGTTTTATACATCGGTTCGTTGTTTTAATTGTTTAATATTTTTAGTATTGAATTGGAAAATGATTTTTATTTCCAAAATGTATTAATTCTAGTAATCATATCAATCGGTTTTGTTCACCGAAATCATCTCATTTGGCAGAGAAGTCCGCTGACCAACAAGTGGTGGATATTTATATCGATCGGTCTGTTAATTAGTCACGCGTTGCTCTGTTTGATTGAAATCAGTTTATACGTGCGGTCGACACAAATCGCCACCCAATTCATCGCTTCCATTCCCGTCTACGTCTGGTGTCTGGGCTTTCTGTGGCCACTCCTTCTCCTCTCCATCAATACCTTCACTAAAAGACACGAAATCAAGTAATGTTTATATCACTGGTGTTGTCATGTCTTGTATTTACCTCTTTTGTTTTGTCCGCAGAGTCTACGGCCGACAGCAGCGAAGGGCACGACTAGAGTTCGGTACAAAACTAGGAATGAATTCTCCCTTTTGATTGAGAATTACAATCAAAACCTATATCTAAATCATACCTTATAATCACCGATACCTGTATTAAAGCACACGTTTTAATGTGTTTTTTGTTTGTTTGATAACCACTTAATTGTATTGCAGTCTTAATAGTGGTTTGTATTCCCGCTTATTATATCACATTTTTTAATTATTATTTAAAATAATTTATTTTTAAACACTTAAAAATATTATTTTTAATTTTAAAGTTTATTGAAAATTATGTGCAAAAATGCACGCGAATTGAGCGCTAGATTTAGTCAAATAAGTTATTAATTATGTTATTAATTGTCACTAATTTTATTGTTTATATCGACTCTAATCACAGCCCATATTCTGAGAGGTATTTATGAGGTATTTGCCAAAAGTCTTCATTGAATTAATTGTTACGAAAATATATAATTATTTTTGAGAATTAAAAATATTTATTGCAAATAAAAATACAAATATTTAATTAAATCTACAAATAAATGCCTATTTATGCGCCAAAATCCTTAAAATTGTGATTACTTTTAACTGAGAAACTGATGATATATTTACACCAAAATCATAATACCAAGTATGAAATTATAATACATAATAGACGTGTGTTTTATCACAATTTCACAGTTAAAAGTTTTCACACAAAGAATCGCTGATTATTATCATAAATCTTATTCCTCCCGATAAATGTTTGCCCCCTTTTTTTACATAGTTTTAATACATTCACACAGTATTACACAACAGAGTTGTATAGGTTTTCAAATGAAAATATTTCAAATAAAAGATAAATACTTAAAGTAATTGTAGATTTTATTTCTTATGATTAATGTAATCAATAGTTATCAGACAATTGATTTATAATTGTATTAATGGTAAGTTATTGTAGACAATCATCTATTAGCCGATCCCCACCATGACTGCCCGGATAGCTCAGTCGGTAGAGCATTAGGCTTTTAA